ATTTAAGCTGTTTTTAGCATTTTCAGTTATTTTTTAAACTTCTTTTTACTTCTTACTCTTATTTCTGCTCCTTTCAGCTTCAGTTTGCTGTTTTTAGTTTTCAGCTACTCTTTAGCTATTTTTTGCTAAATTGAGTTTCATTCAGCTAAATCCACATTTAGGTCATTTCAGCCTTAATTTTGAAAGAGATACTCAATCAGTTTCAGCTTTTTAAGCTACTTTTCAGCAATATTTATCTAATTTTAGCTTTTCCTCAGCTAAATTCACCTTTTTGTGATATTTTCAGCTTCTTAATGCTTAAATCAGCCAACATGCTCCTTCATTTTCAGCTTTTTAAGCTACGTTTCAGCTATATTTAGCTAATTTTAGCTTTTCTTCAGTTAAATTCACCTTTTTGGTATATATCAAAGCTTCTTACTGCTTAATTCAGCAAACGTGATTTTTCAATGATGACCRCTAATCTAATTATTTCAAGGTCACAAATAAGTCATGTTTAGTATTGGTCCTTTTTCTGCTTGTTTTACCTTCTTTCCTTTTTAAATTGCAGCTTAATTATTTTAATTTAGTTCGAAAATTTCCTTCTTTCTGGTAGTTTCAACTTTTTAATCTCCTTTTTTTTCAAGAATTAACTATTTTCTGCTGATTTTAGCTACGTTTCTGCTCTGTTCGGCTTTGTTTTTTTACACATCTTTGCAGTTTTTCACTTTTGTTTTCCTATTTTCAGCAATAGTCCGCTGTTCAAACTTACTAAAACATTTTCAGCTGGAGTTCAGCAGCTTTCAGCTAAAATCTGTCATTAAGCTTTTACAGAAACATGCATTCAGATCTACTGTATATTTCTTCTTCTGCTCCTTTTATCTTTCAGCTCCAGTCTAAACYCTGGTGTGGTCGTAGCAGAGAGCCTGATGGTGCCAGACGTGTTCAAAGCTTTGACCCAAACAGCTCAGATGAATGTTAGTGATGTTAGTTTGAAGTTTKATCAGAAAAGGTGGTGAGCGAGTCGTAACGTGTGGTCCGCTCACCGATCACGCTGCTGCGGTTCTCCGGCTCCCGATAAGGGAACTGCAGGGTGGTGTCCAGGCTCTTAAAGCCTTCCCTCAGGGAGTGGTATTTGTAATACTCGATCAGTTCCTGCACACACAGACCAGGAACAAGCTGTGATTAACACCGGAGTCAGCAGCAGTTCTGTGTTTGAAGTTTCACACAGTTTGGACTGAACTGGTTTAAAAAAAGAGCAAACTTTATAAATTTAATTTAATAAACGAGACAAAAGACTCACCAGGATGCTCTTAAACTTCTTGTTCTCTGCGATGTAGTACCTGGAGTCTTTGGTCAGGATCTTTATGTGCTTCACGTCGTTGTTGTACCTGTGGGCCGGTCAATAAAGRTATGAGAGTTAGCCGTCCCTCTGACGCTCCCCGAGGAGTTAAARGTGTACGAGCGAGCACGTTTACATCAACGAGAGGGTGAAAATAAACACATGAACTCAGCCGAACATTTACATCTGTCAGCTGCAGAGCTGAGACGTTTTTATGGGATCAATCTTGTGCCAACAGGAAGTGAATTTGAATTTCTCAGATTGAATCTGAATGTGCAGAATTTGAAATTGAATGAATTGGTTTGAAAATAAATTTTACTAAATGGAAACTTTTCAACACACAGAAGTTCTCAAACTGTGTTCTTTGTTGCTGTTTTAAAGCCGAGGTTTTTTTAACGCYMCCGAACCACGGCGGTTGTGTTTGAGCRGGCGGCGCCCTGCAGCTCACACCTCGCTGTGGTTAACCACAGCCTCTGCCTCTCTGCAGGCCAGAAGCTCCAGACTGAAGCGTCGGGTCAGGGAGCGTGGCCGGGAGCTACAGCAGGTCAACACCGCAGTTTGGCTGGAGGGTAGCAGAAAAACAGCCGAACAACGCAGGCTACAAATCGGCTACAAAGACCTGGACCCTGGAGGATGTGGAGCGGTTTTTAAACAGGACTTACTTGATGCTGATGGCGTACTCTGAGAAGCCTTTGCTGCGATGGCGGACCAGGTAGGTGCTGTTGGACCTGTTGATGAGTTCTGCCTCGGCCTGGAACCTCTCGATGGGACCAGCAAACCTACAGGAGACCAGTCAGAGACAGCTTTTGTGACTTTTAGACTTTTACAAACTTAACTTTTACTGATGATTTCACCAGAAACATTAGGATCTCCTTAAATCTGGTTCAGTTTTTACCATTCTGCTACTTTTAGCTTGGCTTTAGCTACTTTAAGCTCTGAGCTACTGTTCTGTTTATTTTATCTTTCAGCTGCTGTTCTGCTACTTTTAGCTCTTACCATCAATTCAGCCACTTCTAACTATTCTAGTTATCCTGTTACTTTTAACTTTTAAACTATCATTTAGCTATTGTTAGCTTTTAGCTTGCCTTTGGCACTTGTAGCTTTTAGTCACTGTTCTGGCTCATTTATCTTTTAACTACTTTAGCTCCTAGCACACTTCTGCTATGTTTTACTTTTAGCTACATTTATACTACTTTTAGCTCTTTCCTATCATTCTCATACTTCCATCTCTTCAAGCTAGCCTGTTGATACCTTTACCATTTTAGCTARCATTTAGCTACTTTAAGCTTCTAGCTACCCTTTTGTTATATTTCGCCTTGTGTGACCATTCTGATGCTTTTAGCTTCTAGCTGCCCCTCTGCCTTGTTTTGCTATTATCTACCGCTCTGGTACTACTAGCACTTCTGTTTAGCTTGTTGCTCATTTTAAACTCTCATTTTGCTTCTTTTAGCTTTTAGCTAGCCTTTTTGCGCTTTTAGCTGCCATTTTGCTACTTGCTGCTCATAACTGCCTTTATTTCTATTTTTTACCTAACTTTCAAGGAGAATTAACTTTTGGGTAGCTAACCTTTTGCAATGTTCAACTGTAAGCTAACATTTTGCACTTCTTAGATTGTGTTTTGCTACTTTTAGCTAGCTTTCTGCTATGGTTAGCGCTAAGATTTAAAACTTCCTTCTATTAAGATCAAAGCAGCAAATTAAAGCTTTAAATCAAATAAACGAGCTTCTTGTGGCTCTTTTAGGTCTCAGCTTAAGTTTTTAAGCTCTGTTCTCAGTGAATAAAAACTTCAGCTGCTCCTGAAGGAAGAAGCTGAATTTTCCGTACCAGGGCTGCGAGGAGTAATCCACCGGTTTCGGCACCTGGAGCAAAGAGCAGAAGCGGACATGAGGTTTTATTTCTCAGAATTGATCCAACACTTGATAAAAGCAGCTGCACAGCTCTGGTTTTAACTCTGTTCCAGATGTTTTCACAGCGAGAGCCTCGATAAAACAGCTAAATGTTGGTCTCATCTCCTCGACACACACACACACAGACACACACAGACACAGGAAGTAGAAGCAGCTTACACACGGACACGGCTTGACGGCGTGGCTGGGAAAGAAGCCCACCTCCCTGCTGGACAGGTTCCTGCCCTGAAACCACACAGACACAGCTTTCAGTGAAGGTAAATGTTGCAGAGAAGAGCCGAAGGTGCAGCGGTTAGCATGATAAATGTAAACACAGCAGCTTAAGTTCAGCTGTTAGACCCCGCCCCTCTTTAACCAGACAGAAACTCTACTTCCTGTCTGAAATGTTGATAATTATGTCGGCTGATGTTTCCTCTGAAATGAAGCTGATTGTGTTTGACTCCCGCAGCAGAAATAATTAAAGGCTGTCGGCTGCAGAGGTTGATGGAGGCTGAAGGTTTTTTCACTCTCAGCTAAAGGAAATCTTTTAAGGTCTGAACGCTGACTCAGCGTTTTCCTCATTTTTATCCATTTTTGTGCGCAGGAACTATTGTCACAAGCTTTGTGTTCATTTAGCTGTTTATCCATCGGCTCAGTCAGGAGCAGCTTAAGACTCTTCACATTTGTACTTTTTGCTCTTTTTGAATTATTTAACTTTATTTATAAATAAAAAACATTCAAATCAGTTCCTTCAACACATTTTATCTGAAGTCTAATTCAGCATATCTTTTCTTTTGCTTTCATGCTCTTTTTCGTTTTTGCTAACCTTAGCTTTTTAATTGGGTTGCTGAAGATAGCGTTTAGCTACAATTTTGCTAATTTTAAGTAGTTTTGCTAATTTAAGCTTTTAGCTACTGTTTTGCTAATGCACATTTTTAGCTATGATTTTTGCTAGTTTTTAGTTTTTAGCAACAAATTAGTTAATTTTAGCATTTACCTAAAGTTTTGCTGAATTTAGCTGTTTGCTATCGTCTTACAAATGTAGTTTCTAGCTAGAGTTTTGCTCATTTTAAGTACAGTTATGCTAATGAAGGATTTTAACTATGATTTTGATKATTTTTAATATCTAGCAACAGATTTGTTCATTTTAGCATCAACCTAAAGTTTAGCTCATATTASCATTTACATAGTTTTGGCAAATATAGCTTTAATGTAGCTTTTAGCTACTGTTTTGTTGATGCTTCATTGTAATTATGATTTTGCTGGGGTTTCATTAGCATGTACCTTAATTTTTGCTAATTTTAACGTTTGCACATAGTTGTTGGTAAATTTAGCTTTTAGCTACTCTTTTGCTATTGCTTGATTTTAGCTATGATTTTGCTGGTGTCATTTTAATACTTATGTAAAGTTTAGCTCATATTAGTATTACACATAGAGTTTTGGAAAATGTAGCTTTAATGTAGCATTTAGCTATAGTCATGCCGCTATAGCCTTTGACTATAATTTTGCTAATTTTAAACTRGTTTTTGCTAATTTAGAATTTTAGCTACTGTTTAGCTAATGCTTGATTTTAACTATGATTTTGCTGGTGTTTCATTTTTAACAACAGATTTGTTTTGTTTTAGCTTTTACCTTAAGTGTTGCTAATGTAGCTTTTAGATACAGTTCTGGTAAATTTAGCTTTTAGCTAAAGTCTTGCTAATGTAGCTTTTAGATAGTTTTACTAAATTTGGTTTTTAGATACAGTTTTGCTCATGTTTGATATTGTAACTATTTTTTAGGCAGAGATTAGTTTTTATCAACAGATTTGTTCTTGTTAACATTTAGCATCTTGCTAATTCTACCTTTTTAAAACAAATCTATTAAGATCTGAGGATTATTTCATCCTTTAAAAAATGTTTCTCTAGTTTTTCTGTTTTTTTCTGGTGGTGAGGTTTGTTGGAGTCCTCTGAGTGAACGATTCTGATTCGGGGCCAAAAAAAGCCGGTTTTTCAGGCTGCAGGGTGAAGACTCGTGATGTCTTTAGCTTCTCTCACTCCTGCACACGTTTCCAAAGAAGAGCTCAGTTTTCCTCTGCCAGCGAGGGTCATGGCGTGCGACATGAACTGCAGCGTGAAACAAACAGCAGCTCTCTGCTGTTAGTAAAACCTGTCAGGACGCTGCGAGTTTCCTCAGCAGGACTTTACAAACCTGGAACGACGGTTCTGACTCAGACCGGGAATAAAAGGAGGATGATTGTAAAAACGGGAGCAGACGGAGTCGTACCTGCCACCAGGGGCTGTGCAGCTCGGCCCGGATCACCTCGATGATGTCGCCTATCTGGATGGTGAGCGGCGGACCCCCGGTGGGGCTCGGCACGCCGTTGTAGCTCCTGGTCACCAACATCTTGGGCCAACCTGCAACAAGCCGAAGAACCGAAGCCGAACGTCATTAATCTGATCTTTATTTGAACCTTTGTTTTTACACCTCGTGACTAAAAACAAGTTTGTTCAGGATTTTCTCCGAACCGAACAGGAAACACTGAAAACAGGAAGTACAGTCGTTTCTGTGGACGMTCAGAGATTAAAAAACGTTTGTTGTGTCTGAAAACTGACGAGCTGCAAAGTTAAAACAAACACGCGGACACGTTAAATCAAACAAAAAAAACATCTGAGATTTTAAAAGGATTATTTAATCTTTACTACAAATAAAAACAATCACTTAAAAGCTTCAGTGAAGAAAGAAAAACACTAACTGTGTTAAAGGAAAAGGCTTCAGTCCTCGTTTATTATCTCATTACAGACTTTAAAGCTGCCCTGAAGTCAGACTTTGTTGGTTTTTTCTGCACAAATTCTGCTTTTTTAAGTTTTATTTTCTGCTTCATTTCAGTGCTGTTAACATGTGACCCATCAGGTCAGGGATTAGGTCACATTTGGTAGAAATGAACTCAGATTATTGCAGATTATCATCTTTTAGCTTCAGTTTGTTTCCTGGATCATCCTGATATCAGGAGCTGTTTAAGACATGTTGATTCTTCTTAATAATCTGGATTAATCCTGGAAAATCTGTCTGAGTCCTTTGTTTTTAGCTAATATTAAAGAGGATTTCTTGGCATTGTTTTATATCAGGATTTACAGCTGATATTGATTCATATATGTTGATATTGAAAACTATGTGCAGGAAATTAGTGAAATTGTTGGTTCGGCTGAGAAAACTGCTTGAAAACATTGTTTAGGATTATTTTTCAGACCCATAAATGAGGTATTTATTCATCATGTTTTCACATAATTATCTAAATGTTTCAAATTTCAGTTTGATTCTCAGTTCAGTGTAAAAACTACTACTTTGTTGCAGCTGTGGTTGTTTTATGAATAAAGTGCTGTACTTGTAAAATCATAAAACATTTTAAAAACATAAAAAAATTAAAATCAATAAAAACAATAAAATAGGAGTAAAACAAACTGAAATAAGTAATCAGTTATTGTTTTTTGTATAACTGTATTTAAATTTGACTTTTTGTTTTAGTTTTGCTGGATTTGTGATTTATTTGGTAAATTAACCCTGCTGACCAGCTGCTTATTAACATTTTAAACCCAAAGATGTAAAATAATCATTGTGCTCCTGGTGAAACATCCTTGTTCCATTTCAAATAAAAACCCAGTGTTTGCACACACGCTTTATCAGACTTTATATTTTTACCGTTACATCAGCTGCTGTTTTTTTTAATCCATTTCTTCACCAGGAAATCAATTGCAGTTAAAGAAAATGAAGCTCCCACACATAAAGCCCGGCCTCTCAGCTCTCATGAACTGTTGTTCCTGAATTTTGTTTGTTTTTGAGAAGATGCAGTTTTTCACAGATTATGTAAAGAATCAAATAAAATCAAGAAGCGGCAGAAAGAAAACCACTAAACAGAGCGAAGAATAAGGAAGTCAGCAGCGTCGTACGCTGAGTTAWTCTCTGCCAGCCTGCCTCTGTGGAGCTTCTGAAGACACAGAGACGAAGAGAAMCTGGTTTCAGGAGGACAGATTATAATCCACACAAGGACAGACCACGTGCACAAACCATGCACTAACTTTACATAAACCGTGCACTAACTACACACCAACTATGCACTAACTACACACCAACTATGCACTAACTACACACCAACTATGCACTAACTACACAC